AATGTTCGTCCCACGGGTTGTCGTCCGACTCCCAGCCTTCCAGTGCGAGTTGACAGTAGGCGCAGGTGGCCATGTCCTCAGCTTCCCTCGACGGTGTGTACTTCCAGCCGGCCTCGACAAGCTGCCAAGACACGAGTCAGTCTTACGTCAACGGTCGGATGTTGGTCGTCCTTACCTTTTTAGTCTTGCATTTAAAGCCCTTTTTGGACTCGTAGGGCCACCTGCCGGCAAACGTTGCTCTGCGGGCCTCGACCATGAATGGGTCCAGAGGGTGTACCTTCCCATAGCCTCCCATGCCAGCGTCAATGGCTGCCATGATGGCCCACCCGCACGTTGGGGAGTGCTTCAAGTGTTCCTCCAGCGGGTTGTCGTGCGCCTCCCATCCGTCGAGGGACTTGTCGCATAGATAACAAACAACATTGTCGGGGCTCTGTGCGTATGGCTCGAAGAAGAAACCGGCCTTCGCAAACTATTACAACACGTCAGTCTTGATATTCTCTGCATAAGCATAGATCAAAGCTTACCGCGACCGGCGGGAGAGTCTTGTGTGGCCACTGTAGTGGTTTTGGGCCTTTCCCTTTTGCGGCATGTTGGCCGACCTGGAACGAGGCCAGCCGGTTCTCGAGGCAGAAGAACACGTCGTCTGAGTCCAGTATGGACATTTTGTGCAATTGGTGAAGCGCCTAGCTTCAGCTGTGGGAGGAGTTATTGGCCGTCGCGAGTCAAGACGCGGTCAAGTCGAGGGCAGCTAATCGGAATGGGGTTTTTGTGTGTCGTTCAGCAATATACGGGCATCGCGGTGTGGTGATATACGACAATATTCAGTCGCGGCCAGTTGAGGAAGCCTTGAATCGTGGGCGCAAAAGTCGCGTTTTGGTGATGGTGTCAATGAGGGGAACGGGGAAGTCGCAAATCAATAAAATGCCAGACGCTGTTGATTGGCCAAAACATGGCGCGTTTGTTTACTTTCAAAAGTGGCTCGTGTTGCAGCCGTTTTTCAACGCCAAGCCTCACAGCGCCACATACCTGTTTCTGCCAGCCACAGAATGCGCCACCGGGCCAATTCGAGGTTTTCACTCCAAGGGTTAGGGTTTCCATCTTCACTCCTGATTTCCTTCTGGAATGTGTGCCAAGCTGTTCTTCCCGGCATGTTCCATGATGGCAACATCCGATGCATCCAAAGCCAAGAACCGGCCTCTTGGCTTCCTTCTGGTTTCAACATCATGCCTTCTTTCTGAAACCTTCCCCTTTGAGCCTCATGGCTGTCGTCCCAACTGCCGCTCTGGCTGATGACTCACACATATCTGGACATGGCAAGACAAAATGTGGACTCCCGAGATGATCACCCGAAAGATCTAGACCTCTGGCCTCTGGCCTCCAAGAGATCCAAGAGATTCCATATTATACGAATGGCCACTGTCAAGCTGTGACTAAAAGTGTTCTCTCGCGGGCTCGGTAATGGCCACCAACAAAGGCCGCGTCCGTCAGCTGCCGGTGGACTCGGAAAAGCGATGGGATCCCGGATATCCTTCACCGATCTCGCAAATGGCCGGCTATCTCATTTTTCAGCTGCCTGATCTGGACATGGAGCCATCTTAGATACCGAGAATGCGAACCCCCGTCCAGCTTTTGCCGCCTCACCAGCTAGGTATCTTACTCGGCGTCTCTCAACGCAGTCGAGCCAACCTTTTCGGGGTTTTATACACTGCTACACCCTGATGCAAGGGCACGCGTTGGCATCGGGCATCAGGAGAGAGAAAAAAAAGATAAGCTTTGCCGCGGACAACGGCGTCCAGCGGCGAGACGGTGCCCTTCTTGCCTTGACAAGTCCCCACAATTTCGTCACCCACACCGGCCAAAAAGTACCGGCGCTACTGGCACTTCGCTCCCTCCTGGTTCCTGGCTCCTGGCCGTTCGAGATGAACCGTTTTGTTCTATGGCGTTCCCCAGTGATTCGATGATTTGGCTATCGGTTCAGACGTTGGAATGTCCGCTTTCGCTCCCCCGCAATCCACAGCATTCTCGAGCCGACCCATCAATACAAGTGTAGGGCAAAAGAAAGAAAGCACTGCCGGATGCTTCTCATCTTCTAGAACAAGCCGGAGAGATGCTTCATGCGGGGAGGGTGGATCGGCCGGCCATGAACTCCGTCTGCGGTATGCAGGAGCAAGGGCAGCCCAAGTCTGCAGAGGGGTCCTGGACTTGACAGCACCACCAAAACCTCGAGACCCTGCGGCATTGTGTTGGGAGGTGGAATCTGGGGAGAGCTATTTCCAAGCATGTGGATGAACCGCTGCTCATCTGATACTGGCTTTCCACTCGTCCAGCAAGAGTCCGTCGGGGTCACCATCGGGGTATCCTCTCGGTGGCGATGGGACGTCCCTGCCGGCGATTCCGCCCCCGATCCGCTCACCGAGATCGGCCAGGGCATACCGGCACGGTAGGGATGTGCTTGCCATCCCCCTGACTCGAGCATTGGAGACTGAGGTTTGGCGCTTTCTTTTAAAGTTTCTGTCTTTTCCCTGCTTCCCCAGGAACTCGGCATATTCAGACTTTTGGGAATTGGCTTTGTGTCAACGGGTCTTGTCCTGGTCATACTTTTATTTTCAACAATTTTGACCTGCAAGAATCGTTCATAAAGTCCATCACCCCACAGACTTTAGTTCCTCTCTTCTCATTCCCCACCCATCCCGCCTCTTCGCCATCCCCAAGTCGCTACCTGGCTCTACCCCCGGCCAATCACGCCACGCGTCCCCCGACCTTTCAACAGCTTCAACAGGTCGGCCGTTTAGTCTCGTGACGATGGGCTCTACCATGATGGCGGAAATTACACCAAGCCCGGGTGGGAGCTTCCCCGAGAAGGAGAAGAATGGACTTGAACGGCCTGGTTCAGGCCATTCCAGTGTGGAGGGTGACGTTCGTGCCAGCCGGTGCCCCGAGTACGACTTCGAAAGACAGAAGCTTGCCGAGGGTGAGGCTGCCTTCCACCAGCTTGGATGGAAGCGCCTGACGGTTGTGCTTATCGTCACTGCCGTCGCCCTGGGCAGTCTCAGTCTTCCCGCCGCCTTCTCGGCCCTGGGCATGGTCCTCGGCGTCATTGTCTCTGTCTCCATGGGTCTGTTGGCTATGTACTGCAGCTATGTCGTCGGTCAGGTCAAGGTCAAGTACCCCCATATTGCCCACTACACCGACGCCGGTAGGATGATGTTTGGCAAGTGGGGATACATCATCATGACCATCATGTTCGTCCTTCAGCTTACCTTCACCACGGCCTCCCACGTCCTGACGGGAGCAATCATGTTTGGCAACTTGACCGACAACGGCGCCTGCACCGTTGTGTTCGCGGTTGTCTCCGGCATCCTTCTGTTCCTCCTGGCCATCCCGCCAACCTTCTCCGAAATGGCCATTCTCGGATACATCGATTTTGTCTCCATCATTGGCGCCATCGGCATCACCATCATTGCCACCGGTGTTCAGGCTCACAGCGCCGAGGGTGGTCTGGCTGCTGTCACGTGGTCCGCCTACCCCAGAGAGGGACTGACCCTCCACGAGGGCTTCATCGCCGTCACCAACATCGTATTTGCCTACAGCTACGCCCTCTGCCAGTTCAGTTTCATGGACGAGATGCACACTCCCACCGACTATCCCAAGGCCATCTTCACTCTTGGCATCTTTGAGATCTTCCTCTACACCCTCACCGGCGCCCTCGTCTACGCCTTTGTTGGCCACGATGTTCAGGCTCCCGCCCTTCTCTCCGCCGGTCCCATGATGTCCAAGGTCGCCTTTGGTGTCGCTCTTCCCGTTATTTACATCTCTGGAAGCATCAACACGGTTGTTTGCGCCCGCTACATTCATGGCGAGTGGTTCAAGGACTCGGTCATCCGCTACGTCAACACTCCCATGGGCTGGATCACGTGGATCGGTGTCGACGCCGCCATCACGCTCCTCGCCTTCATCATTGCCGAGGCCATCCCCTTCTTCTCGCCCCTGCTCGCTATCTGTGCCGCCATCTTCTTGTCCGGCTTCACCTTTTACTTCCCCGCCATCATGTGGTTCATGTTCATCAAGGAGGGCAAGTGGACGGGTTGGAACCTTGTCTTGGGCGCGCTCAACGTGGTTGCCTTTATTGTCGGTATGACCATCCTCGGACTCGGCACTTACTCGGCCGTGGAGGACATCAAGATCCGTTACGACACGGGCGCTGTTGGCAAGTCCTTTGGCTGTGCTCCTCTTGCCTGAGAAGGTTCGAGGTGCAACATTCAATGGGTTTTGGTGCAGTTTTGGCATTTTCCTTTTTTACATGAACTTTTTCCTTAACTAGTAACTGGTAATGTTTTCATGGCATTGATTGTATGGATAAAAGGAACTGGGCGCCCGTTTCAGGAGGGAGGGATAGTGTTTTTTCTTTTCTTGTTGGGTCATCTTGGGGTTCATGGTTGGATTTTTCTGGGACGGTTTTGGGTTTGAGGAGGCGTTCTTTTTTCATGGGAAGGGTGTTTCTTTTTGCTTTGTCAAGCGTGGCTTCTTTTGCGCGCAACTGGATACCAAAGAGTTTTTAGGGCTAGATGTAGGGCAGTAATGCTTATTCGATATACATCGATCTTGTTCAGTCTATATTTGCTGATCTTTTGCCATTGACAGAAACACTCTTTCAAGAATACCGTTCCGAGGAAGAGTGGAATCAGTGATGGGCACAACCAATTGCTATCCTGTCACACAAAAGCATCACCTCGTCCTCTTATCTTTCTTTCTCGGTTAAGAATACATGGCAGACTGAAGAGTTACTGAACAAAAAGAATTACACCTCGAAACATTTTGCGTGGGTACAATTTACTTTCCCGTATTCTTTACCCTAACTCGCTCTTCTTGTCTCCCATATAGCAGCAACTGAGAAAAGGCAACCGGACAGGGCACACAAGCCACCATCACAGAAACTTGGAAACACCCACTTGATGATGAAAAGAAAAATCAATGGAATGGATAGAAAAAGAAAAGATAGATGCCCAATAACAGGATTGAACTGTTGACCTTCGCATGGACTATTTACTGATTTCTCAGTATTAGTACGACGCTCTAACCAGCTGAGCTAATCGGGCTTTTCTTTCTTGATGTTTTCAGGGTTCACAGATGGTCGTTATATCGAGAGATTTCACGCAATCTGCCTGTTTCCTCATTCACTCCTTTCATCCTCCTCCTCCTTGCCTTGGGCAGTGATCAGTTGATTGAAAAAAAAGAAAAACAGTTTTCCACACCACTGCAAATTTTATTCACCCCTGAAACTTTCAACTCCCCCGTTTTCTTTCTTGTCACGGCACAAAGCATGTTACAGAGATCGAGGGGCAGATTGGCCGGACCCTCTATGTAATTAATGACTTTGAGAGTTGAAGACTGGGGAGGAAGCACCCATGAGCTCATGAGATGTATACTTTCAGGTGCAAAAAGGGGGGCCGACGTTACCTACTACCGAAACAGCAAACAAGTTTTTTTGAACTATGGTCATCAAATGGTGCTGTTTGTCCTCACAGACATCCATTCCCCCTTTCTCTTTCCATGTTACTTCACCTCCATCACTCTCCTACATAGGTACGTACAACAACAACAACAAACAACTGCCGACAACGGCTGAAAGGAACCTGCCCCCCCTTTTACCCCTCCGCTAATCCTCCCCTCACAAAGCTCCAGCCGATACTTGTCAGGACAGCAAACGTCTTCGGTCAGCCCGTATGGTAAATTCTTAGCTGATCTTCTATACCTGACCTTCCTAATCCGTCCAAGCTCACACCAAAGTCAGCCCAGCCCAATCCACACTCTTTCCCGCCGTCGCCGCTGTCGGTGAGCACCGAACTACCTAATCCCCCTATTACCAATCCCCCCTATTACCCACCTTTCATCGATATCCTCACCTCGGTACGTATTGCTCATCACCAGACGGACTTCGGACATGAAAAAGTACATGATAAATAATTCTGTACGTAATGACTCGTAATAGTCAAAAGCTGAACTTCCCTCGCTAGAACCCCGGCATCTCGGTAGTTATTGGAGGCTTCGATCCGTTGAATTAAACTCGAGGAAGCTAGCTGGCTCGGCCCGAGGCGATGGGACGTGACCCAAGTTCAGACGGAGATGTGGCAAAGTCCGAATAAGCCTTTTCAGCCTTCTCACCCGTCGCAGCACCAACTACTCACACACCTGTCCAGTGCTAATACTTTTTTATTCTGTATAATTTGACGTCTGGAACACTGTTCGTTCCCTCCCATGACTAGCTAATGCATTTCAGCAAAAAGAAAAGAAACGATGATGGCAAACCTTCCCAACCTAACGGCCACGGAGAAGCATGGGCACATCTCAGTTCTCTAGACCCAGCTCCCTGTAAAACGCCTCCGAACTCGGCTTCCGGCCAAGGAACTCCTCCAAAGAAACCATCTCATCCCGGGAACCACCCTTGGCCAGGACAGTATGCCTGTACCGGCGACCCTCCTTGCCGTTCATGGGATCAGACTTGAACTTGGTGTAGAACATGTCGGTGGAGTAGACCTGGGAGCTAAGATAACCATAGTAACCGGCATCGTAGCCGCCGATGAGATGGCCAAAGGTGGCCTGGCCGTTACCCCAGTCGCTAGAACATCCATCCGTTAGCTTGGAATGACTCGGATTCTCGAACAGGGTCTTGGCAGAAACTCACCTGGACTCCCCTTGCGCCTCAGGGCCCTTGATCTTCGAAATGTCAGCGCGGAGGTCGTTGTAGAGCTTGCTGACGTCCATCTTCTTCAGTTCCTCATGCGACTTGGGTGTGTGGACCGTCATGTCGAAAAGGCCAAAGTGCAGTTGCCTGAGGTTGAAGAGAGCATCGTTGACATGCTTGGTGGAAATAAGCTTCTCAATAAGGTCGTCAGGAATTGACTCCCCGGTCTTGTAGTGTTTGCTGAGGCTCTTGAGCTGACTGGGCGTCCAGCACCAGTTCTCAAGCATCTGACTTGGGGCCTCTACGAAGTCCCTCACCGTGGAAGTACCATGGTAGCGAGCATAAAGCGTGCGGCCGACAAGATCGTGGATGCCGTGACCCAACTCGTGGAAGAGGGTGACGACCTCGTCATGCTTGAGAAGGGAAGGCTTCTCCTTGGTGGGCTTGGAGAAGTTGCACACCAACGCAGTGGCAGGGTAGCGTCTGGAACCATTGGCCTGGATGAAGCCAGGCTGCAGGTTGAAATTGGCAGCGTGGCCATACTTACCTTGACGGGGATGAAGGTCCAAGTACAGGTACCCAACGAACCCTTCACCTTCAGACGCGTCATCCCAGACGCTGAAGATGATGACATCTTCATGCCAAGCAATGTCCTCGGCCTTGCCGGTGGGCGAGATGCGCCTGCGGTCCTCGGAATTCAACTCGACGAAAACCATACCGAAGAGAGTCTCGAAGATCTTCAGCATACCGCCGATGGTGGAGGTGATGGGGAAATACTCGGCAATGGCGTTCTCATCGATGCTGTACTCCTTCTCAATCATGAGGCGGTCATAGTAGCGGTGGTCCCAGAGATAGTAGTTGCCATCATATGGGAGGCCGCGCTCCTCATGGTCCTTCTTCTTCAACTCCTTGAGATGCTCAATTTCCTTGAGACCTCCGGGACCGAGACGGGCCTTGAGGTCGTTCAGGAAGTCCAGGACTGTCTTGGTCGTTTTGGCCATCTTATCTTCAATACGGAAGGTTGCGTGGTCCGGGTATCCGAGCAGACGGGCCGCCTCATCACGGAGTTCGACAGCCTCACGGAACAGTTCAACATTGTTATTACACTTGTTTTCGTTCGCAATGAAAAGCTTGCGGCGAGTGTGGGGGTTCTTGGCGAACTTGAGCGTGGGGAAGAGGTCGGGATACTTGAACGAAAGACGCAGCTTGCCCTCATTCTCGTCGGTGCCCTTCGTCAAACCATCCAGGACATCCTGTGGCACACCATCGAGCTCCTCTGGAGTGAACCAGAGTCCGCCGTTCTCCTCGTTCAGGTTCTTCTGGAAGGCAATCGAGATTTGGCTGAGCTTCTTCTTGATCTCCTTGAAGCGGTCTCGCTGGGGGCCCTCGGGAAGGCCCAGACCGTTCTTGATATAGCCCTTGTGCTCCTTCTCCAAGAGCCTCGCACTTTCTACGCTGTCCAGGCCAGTGCTCTTGGCCAACTCCTCGGTGATCAGGCGGTCGTGATCCTTCTCCTTGCTTGCAGCGAGTCCGCTGTTCTTGTACACGGTGTCGACAAGCTTGAAGACGTCCTCGCGCATGCTGATCTCGATGCCGAACTCATCCATGATCTTCTCGGCCTCAGTGCTGGCATCGCGAAGCTGGCCGTCTGCGCTGACATACTGGTAGAAGCCGAGGATGCGAGCCGAGAGCGAGCTCTGGTTCTCATCTTCTATCTGAGGGCGAAGGACAGTCTCGAAAGTGGCAGCAGCTGGGTTCTCAGACGGTTTGATCTCAGCAACGAGCTTGTCGAGCAGGGCGCGTGTGTTGTCGCACAGAGCCTGGGAGTCGACGACGATGTTCTCCTTGGTGCCGGTGAACAGCGGGGGAGCCTGGGGCGGGGTGTCGTATTTGGCCATGTTGACGGTAGGTGCGTGTGTGAAGAAGGTGCCTAGGGTTGAGTACGATAGTGTAGCTAGACCGGTCGAGGTGGTGACAGTTACCACATTCGGGCCGTGACCGAGGGGAGCTTGACCTGGGAAATGGTGGGGTCGGCTGTATCGTAGCTGCGTGAACAGCGCAGAAATGCGGGGGGCGAACCGTGGCGCAGCCAGGATGACGGTGACGGTGGAGAAGAGAATAAGGGAGAAGAGAAGCAGGAAGACGGCCTGCCGTGCTTGGGGGACGTTGGGCGCCAGGTTGACGGGCAGGCAAGTGGTACGGCCGGAAACGCAGGCAGACAGGGCGGGAAACAGATGTCAATAGGACCGAATTGCGGGGTTCGTGCTCGTTGGATGTTGACAGAAGGAGGTCCGGGTGCTACTGGCGGAGGGAGCGGTCTGCTTAACAATTGAGCTGTGGACTGGGAGCTACGTGGTCTGAGGGAGCTCGAGCGGCACTGGAATTTGTCGTCAAGCGTTGTAATGATCTAGAATCAACAGCTTCAAGTGCTGCAGTTCAACGACAGCCTTCGGTAATCGAGGTCCGGCATGCTGTCTGTGTTTGAGCTAGGACCATTCAGGTCGGGGAGGGTCCGTGCATTGGTGATCCACCACCTTGGACTCGAAAGTTGATATCATAAACTAGACCCCAGGTTTCATGTCCTTTCGAGGACAGGCCGAGATCCAGACACCCTATGCCACGAGCCAGAATAGCACCACAGCAAACAAACACGAGATAATGTTGCCAACAAGTCTCTATTGATGTCCCAAACCAGAAGGACACGACAGAGTCTCACCCAGCTGTCCAAAAACGATATACTATAGATCGTCACACAAGTACTCCAACGCCTGGCCCTCCTCTTAATCAATGCAAATGCCCCCAAATGAAAACATGTGTGTCATACTGCAGACCCCCATACGTCCGGTAGCTTCACCTCCCTCTAGTTGGCGAGAATGGTGCGGACGAGCTCCGTGTAGTTGACCTGCCCGTTGCTGGTGTCCACCGCCTTGAGCAGCTCGTCGACCTCCTCCTCGGTCATCTTCTCGCCCAGGTTTGTGAGGATGTACTTGAGCTGGCCGACGCCGATGAAGCCCGTCATGTCTTTGTCGAATACTTGGAAACCGCGGCAGTACTCGTCAGGCTCGCCGGGGTCGCGGAAGCCGCCCGGTCGGTTAAGGATGCGCTGGAAGGTCTCGAAGTCAACTGTTGGGAGTGTGGTGTCAGTGATGGTCCCTTGATATAGGCAGATAGTGGCACTCACAGTCACCGCCAACATTCTTCTCGAGCTCCTGAATCTCGGCAAGGGTTGGGTTCTGGCCGCAGGCACGGAGGAGATCGCCCAAACTGTCGAGAGTGACACGGCCGTTGCCGCGCTTGTCGAACAGAGAGAAAGCCTCCTTGTAGTTGGTCGAAGCCTGCGAGTCAAAGTGATTAGAAGCCATGGTTTGCCGATGCGATGCGACGAGGAGGACGTCAAGTTCGAGGTCAAGAGAT